GTATGCTGATTGGGTAGCACGGCGCTAGTGTTGCACCAGTTTTCCCAGTGGAAAACGCTATATATTTAATTTTATTATATTAGTTTACATGTACTACTTACATTTTCTTTGTCATTAATGGTAATATTTTCTTTCTCCGAGACATTATTAGATGTCAATCCTAATACTAATGATGGATCATTAATATCCTGTTTAAATAGACAAATTTTAATTTATTCATGACATGCAAATAATAAAAATAGGAATGTAAAAGTATAAAATAATTAAAATAAATACACAGGATAAAGCCATGATGCCGTGGAATATATGAAAGATCAATAATGTTTATATAATTATGTGTAAAAAAAACAAACCTCAGGTCGTTCCCCAAATCCTATTTCCATTATAGGTAATCCTACCGAGGATTCGCCTCCAAAAATAGATAAAATTCGTAAATCAAAATCCTTCAACTGAATGTTTTCTCCTGTATTGCCAGTACGTCGTTGTACTTCTTTGGCTTTTGCTGCACGAGACCTAGCTTGGCTTCTCTGATCACACCAAAGCTATAATATGTTACATCAATTTTATAAAGAAGAAGCATTTTGTTAAAAGAAAAAAAGCAATGTATAAAGAAATAATATTTAATTTATGAAACGTATATAATATAACATACCTTTTTCCAACCTTCTATATTTTTTGATGGTCCATCTAAATGATTTAACTGTTCCATTAAGTGTTTCCATTGGTCATCATGAGCTGGCTTTCCCCTTGCTCCTAATAATTTGCCAGTAGCGAAAGCAGTATGGTTCTCCATGTATGCAATTAGAAAATCTAGCTGCTTCATCGTTGCTTTAGGAGCTCTTGTCTTTTTCTTTTCGGTTTTCATACTAACAATATAAAATTTATTATGCTTTGTTATATACATGTATGTACACAAAGTAGATTAAAAATTTATTCCTATTCTCATATTTAAAATGTATGCATACATCTATAAATTTATTCTAATATCTTTACGAATTAAGCCATCCCTATTGAAAAAATCATGTCACACAAGTTAATTTAGAAAATTAAGAAATATAATTAGCAGAAACAAATTGTATTTATATGCATAAAACTGGAACATATTTTCTAAAAAAATTTGCTCATTGATATGATATAGACATTGGACGCTAGTTGGAAAAGAATTTAACATAATGTCAAAATAAAGGACAATAAAGGACAATATTGGAAAATAAAGGACAAAATTAAATTTTAAAGAAACAAATAAATGTAAAGGACAGCTATACCTGAAATAAAGGATTGTCCTTTGCAATAAAGGACGTATGTTCACTGTAATTATATATTAGGTTAAGTTATTAAATTAATTATAATTAGATCATTAACAATATTATATTTACATAATAATCTCGAAATAAATGACTCTCGATATATCAAATATATAATAAAAAGGTATAAAGGCTAATAAGAGTCACGCAATTATCAAACGAAGTGTCTTTAAAAAAACATCTATACAATAATAATAGTAATAAAATAATTACAAAACATCGTGAAAATATTTCTTTACAATAACGCAAACATTACATTATATTTACAAACATTTTTTTACGAACATTATATATTTTATAATTTATTTATTGTATGTATATAAATTAATGTAAAATAATATAACCTATTATGCATTTATATATTTATATTATATATTTACCTTGAATAACTTTTTGCCCCCTTACTATTAGTTGCTGTTTCTTGGCTATTTTCACACATTTCTTTACTTAGATAGTAATATTGAAATAATTTAAATTCTTTCCGTTGATTGGTTTAGAGTTTATTACATCATCATTTCGTCCTAGTTTCTTCGCATCTTGCGTTATAATTCCGAAGATGCCCGAAGTATCGACAACTCATAACGCAAAGCGTAAACATAGCTTACAGAATATAGTTCTGAAGAATAATGCGTTACGAGATAACACAAACCTCGTTAGAAGATTTATAACGCAAAAAGTTACAGAATAGGCCCCC